TGCTGTTTAAAAAATACCATACAAATACATAAAATATTAGGAATAATTTAACAAAAATACTTGTAAGACCTGCACACTGAAAACTACAAAACACTGCTGAGAGGGATGGAAGGAGACCTAAGTAGCAAGATGTGCCTGTTTATGAAGCAGAAGACTCAATATTGCTAGAATATCAGTTCTCCACACACTGATTTCCAGATTCGATGCAATCACCATAAAAATCCCAGCTGGTTTTTGTGTAGCCAAGCTGATACTAAAACTTATATGGAACTACAAAGGACCTAGAATAATCAAAACAATTTTTGAGAAACGATAAAGGTGGAGAACTTACAGTACTTGGTTTCAAGACTTACTCTAAAGCTTCAGTAATCAAGACCATGTGGTAATGGTATAAGGATGTTGTTGTTGTGTGCCGTCAAGTCAACTCAGATTCATAGTGACCTTATAGGACAGAGTAGAACTGCCCCATAGGGTTTCCTAGGCTGTAATCTTTACAGGAGCAGATCGCCAGATCTTTCTCCCGTGGAGCTGCAGGTGGGTTCAAACCGCCGACCTCTTAGTTAGCAGCCGAGTGCTTAACCACTGCACCACCAGGGCTCCTTGTTGGTGTAAGGATAGGCATATAGATTAATGGAATAGAATAGGGAGTTCAGAAATAGACCTGCAAATACAGGGTTAATTAATTTTCGACAAAGATGCCAATCAAGAAAGGATCATCTTTTCCACAAATGGTGCTGGAACAAGTGGCTATCCCTATAGGAAAAGAAAAAATAAATAATCCTCTACACTTGCCTCACAACATACACATAAATTAACTCAAGACGAATCATAGACCTAAGTGTAAAACATAAAACTCTAAAGCTTCTAGAAGAAAACACAGGAGGAAATCTTTGCAAACTTTGAGTAGGCAGAGATTTTTTGGATAGGATACACAAAAAGCAGAAATCATACAAGGAAAAGTTAGTAAATTGGACCTCATCAAAATTTAAAACTTCCGCTCATCTTAAAACACCAATAAGAAAATGAAAAGTCAAGTCTCTGGCAAGGATGAAATAAAGGACTGACAAAGGACTTGTACCCTGAATATATAAAGAACTCTTACAACTCAACAGTAAGTAGACAAATGACCCCTTGAAAAAGATACAAATGGCCAATATGAACACGAAAAAAGTTCAATATCGTTAATTAATGGGGAAATGCAGATTAAAACCACAATGAGTTACCAATATACATCCACTAGACTGGTCAAAATTAAGAAGGCTGACAATGGCTGGCATGAATGTAGAGCAGCTAAAACTCTCAAACATTCCTGTGTAAAACAGCACAACCACTTTGGAAAATTGTTTGACAGTTTCTTATAAAGTTAAACATATACCTACCAAACAATCCAGCAATTCCACTTCTAAGTATTTATCCATGAGAAATGAAAACATATGTTCATAAAGAGAACATGTATATGAATGTTTACAGCAGCTTTATTTAGAATAGCCCCAAAATGAAAATAACTCAAATGTCTATTAACTGGCGATTGGATAAAAAAAAATTGTGGTACATCCATACAATGGAATACTACTCAGCAATAAAAAGGAATGAACTAGTGATATATTCAACAACATGGATGAATTTAAAAAACATTATGTTGAGCAAAAGAATCCACACACAAAAGACTTTATACTGTATGATTCCATGTATAGGAACTTCTAGAACAGGCAAAACTAATCTATAGTGACAGAAAACAGAGAAGTGGTAGCCTAGGGCTGGTGGAGGAAGGTTGACTGCAAAGGAGCATACGAGATCCTTTTTGGGTGATGGAAATGTTCCATACTGCAATTATGGCGGTGATTCACAGGTGTATACATTTATTAAACCTCAAACTGTGCACTTAAAACGCATGCATTTTATTGTATGTAACATTGATTTGAAAACACAACACTTTTTTTTTCTTCTCCAGTGCAATCACGATGATGACACCTCTACAACCCAGGAAGACGGTTACAATTCTAGCAACCACTGAGAGCCAGCCTATACTGAGCACTCAGAATGACCCTAGCAGACCCTCTCATTCATCGTCTCAACTGAGCCTCATACCAGTCTTTAAGACTGATATTACCATCATCCAAAGTTCAGCAAGGGTACGTCATTTGCTCAATGTCACACAGCTAGCAAGAGGCGGAGCCAGGATTCAAATCCAGGTCTAGCTGATTCAAAAGCTTGTGTTTTCATAAATCTCCCTACACTGTCCCTAGAGAACTATCTTGGGGAGGAAAGAAACCAACCCGTGCAGAGGTCATGCATTTAAAAAGCACCACCAAATCAGCTATGATTTTAAAAGTTGCATCCCCAGGGACTATTGACTATTTCTAACTACAAAAGCATCGGGGTGACTTAGAGACATACATTGGGTGACAGGGCCTGTCATATGCCCAGCTCATCACATAACTCAGCTCATATCCATTATAAAACATGACAGAAGGTAGTATTTGCAGAATTCCCAAGCCATCCAAGCCAAAACATGAGCAATCCTAAACTTCCAGAGCCCGGACCATGCTGGTTAGTGTTGGGGAAGAGGTGAAGCCCAGGGAGGCAAGAAACTTGACCAAGGACAACACAGACAGCGTCCCGGAGCTGGGACAAACTTGGGTCCCTGGTCTCTGGTCCAGCTCCCATCCCACTGTCATCTGCCATTCTCTGAGGCACCACTTGACACCCCACCTGGGCTCAGTGCATCCTGTCCCACTGCTGAGGCCAGAAAAGAATTTTGCAGCCTCATCTGTGCTGCTACTGCAAGAGGGCCCCTTGGGGTCTGAAAGAGTTAACCAAGCTGGAGAGGGGGGTTACCCTCCAGCCACCTTTCCACCCCCCTCAGCTGGAGGCTGTTCCCTGTAGGAGAAAGAGCCCAGACCTAAGGTAGAAGACCTGGATTCTATCTTGCCTCCGCCACTAATTTGCTGTGTGACGTCGGTAAAGTCACTGAACCTTTCTGACCTTCAGTTTCCTTGTGGGAACTATTTACACCTATCATATGTACCTCAGGAATGGCTCTGGGGGTCAGAAGAGAGACGCGGTTGTATGAGAAAGTTATTTGTATGCTGCAAGGACTTAATTACATCATTATCACCATTGCAGAATTAGGCTCTATGCCAGCTCAGACACCCCTGTCAGGGCTGGGATATAAAGTTCTGTACCTGGTCTCCTTAATAAAACGAATGATCACTAGCACTGGCGGAGCATTTACTATGTGCCAGATATTGTTATACATACATTAAATCAATCCTCGTAATGGCCCAATAAAATACGCACTATTGCCCTCATTTTACAGATGAGAAACTGAGGCACAGAGAGATTAAGTGACTTGGCCAAGGGCACAAAGCTAACAAGTAGCAAGGTTGTGGTTTGCACCCAGAACATGCACCCTAACCATTATATCCTATTTGCCAAGGCAACAGCAGCTCCATCAAGCCTGAAATCACAAGAAAACAAACATATAGGTGCACTGCTCTTGGAGTGGATCGTTAGAGGCCCATACATACCAATTTCAGCCCCTTCTATGTACAAAGGAGCCTGGTGGCACAGTAGTAAAAAGCTCAGCTGCTAACCAAAAGGTTGGCAATTTGAATCCATCAGCCACTCCTTCGAAATCCTATGGGGCAGTTCTACTCTGTCCTGTAGGAGTCGGAATCGACTCAGCTGCAATGGGTTTTTATGGACAAAAGGGGAAACTCAGGCCCAGAGACAGAGTGGTCTTCCCAGGTCACTAGCAAGCTGATCCCAGAGCTGGAGTTTGGGATACTCTCCCCCCTATCTATCTCAGGGAGCCCATTGCCCAAAGCCAAGGCACAGGGTCACAACCAGGAAATTCGCCCGCAGCCCTTTTTGCAGCCTGTCCGGGACTTGTCAGACTCTCCTAGTACCCTCCCTGGCGGCTCCCGTTAGGAGCAGCCCCTAGCAGGTGCCTTTGCTTGGCGTTTTCTTGCCTTTGCTGCACTCAGACTGCAAACCTCACCTTGATTTGGAGTGATGATCACAAAACCCATCAAGATTTAAAGTAACAGATTGTACATATTTGGAGCAGGGTTTGGGGTGGAGGGCAGGAAGGTTCTTCGCGTCCAGGAGCCACCCCCCCCCCCCACAAGTTCCTGCAACGCAGGGTCAGAGAAGCAGGATTTCCGAAACAATTGCTCTGTAACTTTCGCTCCAAAGATTCCCCTCATGGGTCCTGTTCCATTCTCTCTCCCCAGGTGTCACCCCAATTCCGATCTCCTTTACCAACCATGTACTCACCCACCCACCCCGGCCCTCTCGCTCTCTTCATTCTTCTGAGAATTGATCTGCGCCAGTTCTGAGACTTGGGCAGATTCCCCCAGTGGATGTGCCCGGCTGACACTCCCCACGGTCCGCCGAGTCCCCGCATACCTCTTCGATCGGCCACTCTTCCCTGGCACCCTACCCTGCCTCAGTAAAAAACCCCCTCCCCCAGCTCTCCAGGTCTCGGCCCCGAACGGCGAAGGCAGACCGATGGGGAAGGAGTCTGGGCCAAAGGCAGTGGCTACAGGGAGCCCTGGATGGGGTAGACAGGGTAGCCGGCTGAGGATCGGGAGAGGCCATCAGTGCCCTGGACAGGCAGGGCCAGGGCGCACCGGGGCGTATGCGGCCAGGGTCTGGGACACAAGTAGAGTCCGGGAGGTCTGGGACACAAGTAGAGTCTGGGAGCATGGGCTGGAGTCTGAGACCCGGCGGAGGTCGGGGGATGGGGTCGTGGACAGGGTCGGGGTGAGAGAGCAGAAGCGAAGGAGACTAGAGACTCGGACGCGAGAAGGTGCGATCTGGCTCTGAGCCGGGAACTGCGACCGCGAGTTGGGGCCGGGTGCCTCTCGGCCGGGGCTGGGGTCCGAGTTCGAGATCTCCCGGGACCCGAGACAATCGGGCCGGCAAAGTTGGCCCAAGGCAGCAGAGGAAGGGGAAGCGGGCGGGTCGTGGGCTGGGGACCGGCGCGCACTGACCCGAAGTAGGCGGCGGCGGCGGCGGCGGGCAGCGCCAGCAGGCAGAGCGCGGCCACGGCCGGCGCGGGCAGGGGGCGCATGGTGCCGGCGGCGCAGCCCCTCTCGCATCTCCTCTCGCCGCTTCCGCTAGCAGCGCCGCCACCAGCCGCCTGCTGGGTTTTAAACCCGGTGGTGGGGGGGGGCGGAGAGGGGCCGCGTGGGGAGGGCGCGGCTGCAGAAGCCCCCGCCACCGGCGGCGAGCCCCCCGCCCCATTGGCCCCACCAGTTGCGCTCCGCCCCTCGCGGGAGGGGCCACCGCCCCCGCCCTGCTCCCCAGCCGCTCCCTCCCACCGGCCCCAGGTGAGCGCTCACCTGGCGCCGCGCCCACCGGGGAACGCGGCGGCAGAACGTGAAGCCCCCAGGCCTGGAGAGGCGGGCTTGGGGAGGATGGGGCGGAGACTGAGGAGTTTCTGCTTCTCTGAGGCGGGGTGGAGGGACGCGCAGGATTCTCCCCTGAGGTGCAGGGGTGGGCGACATAGGAGGAGGCACACGCCTGGGGTCTGCGGGGAAGCCGTTTAGTTGCCGGCTCTCCGGCCTGCGGGTGCGGCTTTCTCTGCCCTAGCCTGGGGGCTCCAGGAGCGGGGGAAATGCCTGGCGAATGCGGCGGGGGGGGGGGGGGGGGCGGGGCGCCCTCTTGCCGGGCTGAGGGAGTCCTGGAAATCCATTGGTCAGAGGGGAGGAAGAAAAGGGCGCCCTATTTTTAAAGGGGTTTGCTTGGAAAGTGCTGAACACTGCCTGGCTGTCCAGTGCAAGGTGCACAGTGTGGACCTCAGCTGGCGTTTGACAAAGGACTGTGGTGTTCGTGGAGGACAGAAATCCGGGCCCTGGGCAGTGGGGTGGACAGAGCCCCAGCGAGGGTGGGTGGGCGGAAGGCTTTCAAAGTTGTGAGGTGCCTGAACCTCAACAGGCAGCGTGGGGATGTCTAGTGTCGGGCCACGAAACAGTCTGCTCATTCTTTTTTAAAGTTCAGCTCAGATTCTTGCCCGAAGGTGTGGTGATCAAGGCAGTGAGTGCTACTAGTCTAGGAGGGAGAGTTAATGTGACAAATAACCCAAGTGAGAGTCTCAAACACTGGATCAAATCAAGCAAAACAAAATATAACTTGCCATGAACGTCAAGCCCTGCATGTAAAATTTTCCCAAAATCAGCCATGCATGTGGAACATCAGGTGACAGTGACCTTGGCTTTGCTGTGGACACAGTGTGATGGGGGGCGGGGCGACGTGGTGGGAAGCCGGCAGCTCTGATGTTAGGCCTGATCTTTAACAGCTCTTCCACCCTTATCAAACCCAATGGTTCTATTTATTGAGGTCACATGGCCCAGTGTGGTGGGCATAGACCTGAAGTCAAATCATGTAAGTTAGTGAACACTAGATATGAAAGGAGCCCTAGGAGCCTAACAGTTAAGAGCTCAGCTGCTAACTGAAAGGTTGGCAGTTCGAACCCACCTAGTGGCTCCTCGGGAGAAAGACTGGTGGTCTGCTTCTGTAAAGATTACAGCCTAGAAAACCCTATGGGGCAGTTCTACTCTGTCACATGGGGCTGTTCTCCTCCGTCACATGGGGTCACTATGAGTCAAAAATCAACTCGATGGCATACACCAACAACAGATATGAAACGAGGATGATGATAAGTATCCCATGGGATTCTTGTACAGGTCAGAGTGATGCCAAATGCCCAGCAGATGGCTGGTACTCAATATCAGCTGCTTGTCGGGACCAGTGGTGTGCTGGGAAATATTTGCAACTGGATCTGGGGGACGGTCTGATTTGCATCATTTGCTGATTTCTGTGCTGTAAATAGGAGACTTGGTAGGGCAGTGGTTAAGACCTCAGCTGCTAACTGAAAGGTCTGCAGTTTGAATCCACCAGCCGCTCCTTGGAAACCCTATGGGGCAGTTCTACTTTGTCCTACAGGGTTGCTGTGAGTCAAAATCAACTAGACAGCAACGGGTTTGGTGTTTTTGGTGCTGTAAATATTCCCTCTATGGCCTGCTTCAAGCTACCAGATGTGGCATTGTCACTGATCACTGGTGTTAGGAAGAAAGGCCCATGGTCAGCTCTGCAAGCCAGTTTGAGCCAGCTCCAGAATACCTCTGGCAAGACCTTGAACTAGGCTCAGCAGGGGTCAGAAGGGGTGGGGCCCAAGCGGGACCAGTGAGAGGAAGTCAGAGAGAAGGAAGAGATGGGGACCGAGTTGCTGAGAGCCCCCAGCAGGCCTCAGCCACGGCCAATGGGCACCTGAGTGTGGGCACGTGAGGAGGGTGGGCCGCCCCCCTCTCCTCATGCCCATAAGCACACACTAGACACACACGCACACACACGCACACACACGCACACGCACGCACGTACATGTCTGGAGAAGGTGGGGGGCGGGGGGAGCACATTCTCCAAAAGTGACATATTTTCAACATTTCATAAAAGTAACATGTTGACATTTGACAGTTGTAAAGCCCATGATGCCAAGAAACTAGAGGAAGTAGCAGGACGATTCAGTGGAAACGTCAGCGGTTGGACAGTGAGAAACATAGAAAATATTCATATGGGTGTTCTTGAGCCGCCACCAGCCATTGATGAGGACCCCACCCTTGGGCTCCTTCCTTCTGATGTTAGAACGTGACTAGTTTCTGCCTGCAGGGGTGACTCCCAGCTTGCCCACAGAGGCTTCAGAGTCCTGCTTCTGCCTTCTTGGTCAGCAGGGCCTCATAGAAGTGCCCGTGGGCAGCTCTTTGTTGTTGATAATAATAATTCCAACAGCAACTCCTGGGTACGAAGCTCTGTGTGTGTGCCAGGTACAGCACATGGTCTCACTGAAGCCTCACACCCACTGGGAGGTGGGGGCGATCATTATCCCCATTGTACAGATGAGGAAACTGAGGCATGGAGAGCTTGAGAAGCTGGTGCATGGTGACCCGGCTGTAAGTAGCGGAGGAGGCAGAGTCCAGCTCCAAGCCGGACTCTGGAGCCCAAGCTGTCAGCCCTGGCTGTGGCTCATGATTGGCCTGGCAGGCTGAGGGCTTGCCCAGGCACAGCCTGGCTGACAGGTGCCTTTGCATTATACACCTTTACTATGGAGCATCGGGTACATCCCAAGTGCCGACCCTAGACGGGTCTGGATGGGGGATGGGGGGCAGCTTCAGGACTGAAGGACCTGTGCCATAGTTGTCTGTGTCCCTTCCACTGCCCCTCCCTGCGCTGTGAGTGCCTCAAGGGCAGGGCCTGAACTTTACTTCTCTCTGCATCTCCAGAGCCTGGCACAAGCACGTTGTAGATGCTCAGGAAACGTGTGTTATCTCCAGCTTATACTCTTGGTCTGTAGCCTTTTTACGCGGCTGCAGAGCTATAAAGTGTCACACCAACACAATGTACACCCACAGAAGCCCCCGCCCCGTTCTCAGACACATGCCAATCTCCACACACGTTGACATTCTACAACACAAGCCCAGGCATTCAGTGACACACAGACTCCCCACCCTCCCATGCATGTCTGAATTCTTAGGCAGACCCACAGCTGCTCCTGGACCCACTCGTTCACACAGGCATTCGAGAGAAGCATTCTTAGACATCCACATGCAGCTACCTGTCTCTATGAAACAGCCTAAGGCAGCCACGCTCGGGGATGGAGGCCCCCCTCCTCCCTCCCCGTGCGCGCGCGGGGACACACACACACAGACACACAGACACACACACACACACAGACACACACAGACACACACACACAGACACACACACACACAGACAC